TCTAATTCTTTTTTAAAAAGCAGGTTTTTGGGGCACATAATTCACGAACTATACATTTCAATGGTGATAATTTATTAAAAAGAGTTGTGCAATAATCACCACAATCCGTTTTATACCATTTAAAAAATTCTCTTACCAATTATTATTACCCCCCCAGCCTCCCCAAACCCTAAGGGACTATTAATCTAGTAATTGTGTCTGTGGATTTACCTATCCTGAAAATCATATAAAAAAATCGTACAAAAAACCCAACAATGACAACAAAGTAAAACACAGAAAAACCTAAATCCAAGAGAAGTAGAATAGAAGCTACAACAAATTAATAATGAGTCAAAAGGGAGAACAAATGGTAATATGTTTAATTTTAACAACTACATCTGTAATAGTCCATTTTCCAATGTACACTGTCTGAGGGCAAGACTATTCACATTGGCCATTTCCACAGATGAGCCAGAAGTTATTCTGTAAAGTGTGTTTAATTAAATCAAGGAAGTTCATCATTAGATTTGTCATCTGTTTACTGGCATCTGAAATTCACTTTTCTAGAATCATTTCCTTTTTTGAGGTGGTCCAATATTAAACTTAGAAATTCTATTTGCAATTGCTTCGGGGCAGAGCTTTGTTGGTCCAGACTGGCTATTGGAAAGAATCTTTAAGCTGCTTTGAATAAGCTGCTTATTAAAAGAATTATGTCAACATATATTTTACGTTAACCCCACATGAAATGTTTCTTTCAAACCCACGTGATGAGAAAAGTCATTAAAAAGCACGGAGATTTTGATATTTTTTTCTTTGAAATGGACATACTGCTGTTGCTATTTTATCTGTAGGCGTGTTTTCATTATCTGTCTATTTTCACATGCTTATGTAGTGATTTAAAGTTAATTTTTCCGCACTTAAGAAAAGCTTCTGAATTCTGGGGGAGCTGGACTTCAGTTTTGCTTGTTTTCAATAAGAAAATGGGAGGAGGGGATATTGGAAAAGTTAGGGGGGAAAGTGCAGTGTATTAAATATGCCCTTCCCCGGCCCCCCAAACGTGAGTGAATCAGTCAGCCTTTGTTATTTGAAATCCCTAAAGGTGGAATACAATGAAAAAGCACTAGGGGTCCCCAGCTGACTACGAGTCTGCTGGGTGGCAGTGGCATTCTGTGCTCATTTCCATGTTTCTTCAGTCATACATGCTTCACAGTAAGCTGGGTGAGAATGTGGGTGCACTATTTCTGGAGGAGAGCATCACACCTGATTTAGGACTTTAATTTAGAAGGGTGTTTTTCTTCATTTCTGGTAGGTTTACTCCTTTGTCATTCTGCCCAGCACTGTGCTAATTCACAATTTAGGTATAAGTTACTGGTTTTCATAACATGGATAACAAAGCAAACCTCCTCAGTTCAAACACCCCAGGGCAAAGGGGTTGGGTACTTAGATGGTAGAGTGGGGGAGTCAGAACAGACATTGAGGAAAGATAAGGATATTATATGGACTGCAGAAAAGTACCCAGTGTGCATTTTATGAAAAGTTCTGAGGCAGATTTTTTTTTTAATCGTTTTATTAGGGGCTCATACAACTCTGACGCAGATTTAACCTTGGCAGCTAAATGGCTCAAAGGTACGATAAAATAAAAGGAACATAAATTTTGACTGTAGGGTATGCGTTTTAAAGTTTGCGCATTTATTGAACTTTGCTCTCAATGGTGTATTGTTCAATAACTAAAGAAAATGAAGATGATACATTTAGTCCAGCAAGGGCACAATACCTCTGCATAAATTAACTTTAAATGGAATGGTTTTAAATTAAAAGAAGTTGCAGACTCTATAGGTTTGTCTTTGAGTTTGCCAATCGCAGTATCTGAAGTCTCCCTGTTTAGCTTTGCCGGTGCCATGCTTTATTTTCAAACTGTGCTGGTCAGTGTCGAGGATGATGTGGCTTAGAGTCATGCAACGTGGTGTCTCCCACCATTGCTCTCCTTGCCGAGCTCTGTTGTGACCTTGGACTGTTCACCTTTTTGCATTGGTTTCCTGAATTGTAAAGTGGAGGCGCAGTGACTGATACAGAAGGCTTTGGAGGATCAAGACAGACAGTGCATACACCAGCACATTTAGAACATTGTTCTTCATAAATAAAGAAGGATGTCAATTTAGAGGAGTAGTCTAATGTTTACATGTAAAGTACTTGATTTTTCATTTTTTCCTGAACTTCCTGTTACCGCCAATTATTTAATGAGACTAAGAAACAAAATATAAATATATAATCAAATGCAGTGCGTTTCTGGGATACAGTTTCCCTTTAATCTTTAAGATGTGGTTAAAATATTTGTCTTTTGCCATATGAAGGTGCTTCATGAAATTAATTGAAAAATTCCATTACCTTTTAATTCCATCTGTCCACAGACTTTTTGAAGGCCTTGGTAATAGTGAATGAGAATGGTCGCTCTAAAGCAAGTACTCCAGCTCTTTCACAGTTTTAAAACTTATTTTTTTACAATTTAAAAATCTTTTACATTTTCACTTTAACTTATCTATTATTTAAAAAACCTAGCACCTGGTTTTAAACCCTATGTCTTCATAAACAAAGGGTGTTCTTGACTCTCACTTCTTAATCCCAGCCATGGACCAGTTGGAGGACAGTGGCCGGCCCTAGGACATGGTGTGTGACATTTGAATAGTCCCTGTAACTAGGGCATGCTCCGTAGACATACTGCTCAGCTGAGAAAGACGTTTCTAGAAATGTATGTTCTTCCTAGAAATTATCTGCTTTGGGGAGCACTGCATGGTACAGTATAACCTGATACAATAAAATCATTTGTGACACCCAATATGAAATGTAAGAATGGAATCTGATATTTGAATAGCATGCACATAAAGCACACACATTGAGTGATGTCAGTCGTAGCAGAGGGAAAATCCGCACCCGCAGGGACTGAGGGACAACTGAAGTGCCTCCGTGGTAGGAAAAATAGAAATAGTTTTGCTTCTCTTAATGAAAGCTGCCTACAGAATTATGAAATTCTAATGAGCAGCAAAGTTAATACAGGAATGGAGAATTCTAGAAGTAAATTTCATTTTTGCATGTCCATGAAAATAAGGAAATAAAACTTGGCATCATTGTTTATGCCATGACTGAATTAAGAATCAGAAATGAGGAAGCTCACCTAATGTATTCATTTTGGAATTGTGACAGAGTCCGATTCAAACAGAAATCTTAACATTTACGGCAGCACCTTGATCCATCTGCTCTTTTCTTCCCTTTTTTTCCCCCAGAAAGGGAAACTGCAGAACCCCTGGCAAGTACCTGACAAAGTTATATCTATCGATGAGCAGAGTAGACAATCAGTTTAGCTCAAATGCAGTACTTAGGAGCATTTGTGTTGCCAAAAGAACTTTATTACAAACAGAATGAATTAGTCTGGACATTTTTCCATATGCGTTTTTTCGTAGGGTTATATTCAAGTTTCTAGTAAAAGCTTGAATTTTTAAAAGTGTTTTTTTTTCAAAAAAATTGCCTGGACTTCATAGAATGGACACAAGTCTTCCAGCACATTTAAAAAGTGATTTTTTATTGTGGATTCTAAAACTGCATTGTATCTGGTGCATACTCACTACATGGACACTCACTGTAAGGAAATAGAATGTCGTGTTGGGATAGCCTGCCTGATGTGCTGCCACACAGCTCTGCGAGTGAGTCTCGTGCCAGGTCCAAGTAGCCACCCCAGCCCTGCTCTCTGTCACAGCACAGTCATAAAAACCCAGACTGTTTTCCTTTGTTTTCACACGGAGAAATTAAATCACCACTGTCACCAAACAGGGAAACGTAATGGGAAGATTTTTATGTTGGCAGAAGTTTACATTTGAAAAATAAAGTGAAAGTAGAAGTTAAACTGACAAACTATCAAAATCAAAGACGAGCAGATCCAGGTTCTGAAGTTTGTAAAGTCTATAAATGCCCAATCTTCATGTCACTGAGTATGTGTGTATTTAGAAATTAAGCCCTCTGTCCTATCAGATATTCTGTTGTCTTAATTTTGAGCTAAAGTTTATAAAATGCCATCAGCTCTTTTTAAAAATAGTTCAGTAAGTTTGAGTTTTAGAAAATAAGATGATCCAAATTAGTAAAATCTTTTTCTTACCTTGGCTGCTGTGATGATGATACTCTGTATTTTGTGAGTTGTATCAAGTCTTACGGGTGGTCGGGCTGGAAGTTTTCTGACTGTTGCCAGGTCTCTGGGAACAATTGAAGTAGGTAGGGGAGAAAGTGTTTTAGGGAGGTCTTGTGATGTCACACAGGAATTCTGAAGTTGTGATTGGCTAGCCATAGTTTCACCACTTCAGAACGTTGTTCATCTTCCTTCAGGCGTGGAAAAGCCATGAACATTTTGTGTTCTACTTTTAAGAATAAAAGTATATAACAGATAAATGGAAAAAAAAGTCTTCTTTGGTGTTCAGAAAGCTGTTTAAGGATCCATGCGTCTTCATTTGTATCGTATAAAACATCTGGGTGGTGATAATATTGAAGAGCAGAAATGGTGATAGTAATAGAATGTTAAGAGAGTCAAGATAATACCGACTTTCAAGCAATTTTCTTTGAGTTGTTGCTGCAGCTTTATAATGTTAGCAAGACAGTAAATATCTTGCTCCTCATACCTGTGTATATGTGAGACAAAAAGATGATATTTAAGGAAACCAGACCCCTACTTTCTTTTGGTTAAAAATCCGCTTTGTCTTTTATTACAGATAAAGTAAGACAAATGGGTTTAACTTATCTCTGTTTAATTTGAATGCTAATCCTGCTGGTAAAACCTGGGGAAGCTGGAAGTCATGTAAGGCAGAAACCTGTCAGAGTAGGAAAGCATGCTAAGTACTTTCTTCCAAGTAATGATAGGAAAGTGATGACTGCACCCGGTCAACTGTGGAAAACTTGTGAGACCAGGAAAAACAAGTCCCAGTGAGTTCTGGCTCATACCAAACCCCAAAGACCAAACTCAGCGCCATTGAGTCAGGGCTGACCCCTGTGTGGGGAGTAGAAAGCCCAGTCCTCCTCATGCTTAGCTGCTGGTGGTTTTCACCACGCGGACCGCAGCCCAACGCGTACCCACTACACCACCTCTTGCACACACAGGTTTCACTGTATTTCTGAACAGTAACTCCCATGCCAAACCAAACAATACTTTATTTAAAAGGAATTTAAACTGACCTGTTTACCCCTAGTGGTGTAGTGGTTACACAGTGGGCTGCTAACCCCAGATCAGCAGTTCAAAACTACCGTCCGCACTGCGAGAGGAAGATTGAGGCCCTCTCCCATAAAGATATACAGGGCAGTTGAACTACTCAGTAAGTAGGGCTGCTCTGGGTTGGGATCAATGTGATCACAGTTCGTTTTTTGATATTACCCCCAGAATCCTTACAATTTACAAATATAAATAATTGAGACTTTAAAAAGCAGCTGCATACAATTACCATAAAACTTTACCAAAATTTTAATTGACTTTTACTGAAAAGTCAAGGATAACTTTCTAGTGAAAAAAAAAAAAAAGAAAGAATCACAGATTGTCACTCAGTGCATCCTAGTTAAGGAGGCTTTATTGTTGGAAATTTATATTGTTTGGTATTTTAAAAGGATTCACTTTATTTAATCTAGTTGTTTTCCTGAAAGTTATTAAATAGGTGAAGTTTTAGTAGATGGGAATTTTGAACTTTAAAGAAGAGTTTAGCTTATAGTAGAATTGTAAAGGAAAACTGGAAAGCCAGGCTTTTCACTCGTCTGTGTTTTGTTAATTTAATAGTTAGGTTTTTATTTATATTGGTTTTACTTAGTCATGCCTGCAGTTCTAATTCTTAAATTGCTTATGTAATTTTGGACATGCTATTTATTATGAAATTCTCACTTATAAGGAGAAAAATCTGTCAGTATTTAATTTTTAAAGGGTATTTGAAACCACCCTGAACAGTGGTTTGAACTGAGAATTTCTCTTTTGTTTTTATTTTCATCATTCACGTATTCATATTGCTTTGTCACATAAACCCTTAACATAAACTAAGACCTATGAGGAAAAGTTTTTTCAGTTAAGATTTTTTATCCTTCTAGAGGACCAACCTCTCTGCCTGCTTCACTTTCTTTCTGGGTAACAAAAATGTGCTGCAGCAGCTGCTTTTGTGTCCTTAAATGGAGATGGTTTAACTTCTTCCAAAGAAAGATAAAATGTATCTCCAGAGCAAATCTTTATTTTAAAATTAGCCAAACCTAACCAAAAAAATCATAGTTCAGCCAAGACCTTCTGTGAACATTGCTAAGGGAAAAGTAAACATTGAATTAAAGAAATTGTATGAATGTTTTAACACGGTGTGCAGTAATCGATCAACATTTTTTTTCAGTCTGACATAAGGATTTCTCATTACTATGAATTGTGAATAATAACCAATAATATAAAACCTAGAAGGCTCTTTTGAAACCTAGAAGGCTAAGGTGGTACATAGTCATTTGTCGAAGATGAATAACTAGTAAGGCATAGTTGAAGATTCCAGTTCTGTATAGTTATGATTCTCTAACAGGTTGGCATTTTATGTGTGTGGGGGAAAACACACTTTTCCCTTAGTGTGTTTCAGAGTCTAAGACCAACTAATAAATAAAACCCACAAAGATAGATGGAATGGAAATTTGTTGCTGTTTTTTAAAAAGTCTGCCTTAAGTTTGTCTGGCAGTTACACATTTGTTTGAAAATGGAGCTTGGAGGAGAGCTTGAGCGCGTCTAGAAAACAGAACTAATAGTACTAAGTTGGATAAGACACTTCCATAGACAGAATAAAGTATACCTTAGCTACCTCATGTGTTTTCACATGTACTTTAAAAGCATCCAGAGGTATACATAATCTCAGAAAGATGCTAAGGACTGTGTTAGATTTGGAAAGTGGAGACAAAAAACTTTTTTGATTTGGAAAAAAGAGTAGGATTCTTCTGTGTTTACTTTTTTTCTTTTCTTGGTTTGGCTTATTATTATGAGACTAGATGAAACTTTATAAAGTATTATACTCTATCATCTTCCTAGTTTGTGAAACAGAAGTTGCGTACTAAGAATGCAGATTATCAGCAATATAATCAATATAGAGTTCCTCCAAAGTTCCCTAACTAAGCGTTAGTAATATTTTACATTGCTTTGTTAAAATCTTCATTTGTATTCAGATTGTAGTTTGAACCCATTTTGGTCACATGGCCTTATACAAGAAACATGACTGACTGCCCTATCTGCAGAACGGGGTTGTTGTAAGCTGTGGGGTGGAGTGGGCACGGTGACTAGCAGAGACCCTACAATGTAGTATCTGTTTTATATCAGTTCATGTACTTATTTACTCCTTCCCTTTAGAGCAGTGGTTCTCAACCTGTGCGTCATGACACCTTTGGGGTTCGAACAACCCTTTCACAGGGCTCGCCCGATTCATAACAGTAGCAAAATTACAGTCATGAAGTAGCAACGAAAATAATTTTATGGTTGTGGGGTCACCACAACATGAGGAACTGTATTAAAGGGTCTTGGCATTAGGAAGGTTGAGAACCACTGCTGTAGAGGATGGGTTGGTAAATTGAGGCTCATGGGAAGCGATCAAGTCGTGAAGTTGAATGGGGGAGCAAAAAAAATTTCATTTTTACTAGGCTCAAAGTGAAACAGCAGTTTTTCAGTTTTGATTGTAGGCTTCAGACCTCAGAACTATTAGTAGTTCATGTAATTGTCACCGTGGGAATCTCAAATGATTTCAAATAGTACAGCTGTAGACCACTCAAAATATTGTTTACATTCATCCCTGCTCTGAGATTACCATGGTTGTTGCTGTCATTTGATTCCAACTCATGGCAGCCCCCTGTGTACAGATTGGAACTACTTCGTAGGGTTCTGGAGGCTGTAACGTTTCCAAAACACCTTGCCATGCTTGTCTTCTCAAGTGCCTTTACTGCGTAGGGTTAGAATGGCCAGCTTTGTGGCTACTGCTCATTCCTTAACGTATGCACTACTCGGGAACAAGAACTGCTTTTAACATTATTTAATCTTTTAATAAAGCAAGCAGCACTAAAGCAAGCAGCATATATACAGTGTAACATGTTTCTGTTTGTTTTTTTTTAAACATGTTTCTGTTTTAATGCTTTGTTGTTGTACCTTTGTTAGGTACCTTTGAGTCAGTTCTGACTCATAGTGACCCAGTGTACAACAGAAGGAAACACCATCCAGTCCTGTACCATTTTCACAGTTATTCTTATGTTTGAGCCCATTGTTGCAGCCACGGTGTCAATCCCTATCATTGGGGGACGACTTCTTTTGTACTACCTCTCTACTTTACCATGCACCATCTCTTCCGGAGACTGGTCTCTCATGATAACGTGCCCAAAGCAGCAAGATGAAGTCCTGCCATCCTTGCCTCTAAGGAGCATTGTGGTTGTACTTCTTCCAAGACAGATTCGTTTGTTCTTTTAGCCGTCCATAGCACTTTCATTATTCTTTGCCAGTGTGCATTGATTTTCTTTGGTCTTCTTTAATGCTATAAATTTATTACTGTTTTCTTTTAGGACAGTTTTAGATTTATAGTATTACTGCAGAGATAGTAAAACTAGTTCCTGTACACTCCATACTCACCTCCCCCATTTAACAGCTTACATCAAGAGGATGGCCTTGGCAGGCTCATAAGGCAGTTCTACTCTAGTCTGTAGGGGGCTAGGAGCCGGAACCAGCTCGTGATGGCTAAGGTACATTTGTCATATTTGCGAAACCACTATTGATACATTATTCCTATCTAAAGCCCCTATTTTGTTCGTACTTTTCATTTTCCCTGGTCCCTTTCCTGTTGTAGGATATACATTACATTTAGTAATCGTATCTCCTTAGGCTGTGACAGTTTTTCAATCTTTCCTTGTTTTCTTAAGCCAGAGAGTGTTGAGGAGTATCAGCTATCTTGTAGACTATCCTCATTTGGGATTGATCTGAGGTTTTTCTCATGGTAGATAAGAGCAATGTGCTTCTTTAAAAGACTGGATACTTAAACATGTTTATGTCATGGGATCAATGACACATACTGTCAACAAGCCTTTTCACCGTTGATTCTGGCCCCTCTCCTGCCACCGAGGTGAAGTGCTTGTCAGACTTCTCCACTCCAAGTGCCTGTCCCCTTCCTGTGCTGTACTCAATGGGAAGGAGACACTGCACAGCCACCATTTATGCTCTGCTACCAGAAGGGTGGAGCATCTACATAATTTGT